ATTTATATGCTGCCTCCAAGAGCCTCATTTCAGACCTAAAGACATACATAGACTGAGAGTGAAGGGATGCAAAAAGACGTTCTGTACAACAAAAAAAGAAAAAAGCAGGAGTAGCAGTACTTATATCAGACAAAATAGATTTCAAAACAAATAAAACAACAAGAGGGAAAGAAGGACATTACATAATGATAAAGGAGTCGGTCTAACAGTAGGCTATAAAAACTCTAAATATATATGCTCCCAAAAAAGAAGCAACTAAATATGTAAAAATTTAACAGACCTAAAGTGGGAAATAGATTGAAATTGTATCAAGCAGCTTTTTAGCTCACAATGGTATGAAACTAGAAATAAATTACATGAAGAAAATGAAAAAACACCCTACAAACACAAGGAGCCTGAACAACATACTTCTAAATAATCAATGCATCAATTAATAAATCAAAGAAAATAAAAAAATACACAAACACAAATGAAAAGAGAAACACAACAGTTCAAAATATGTGCGATGCAGCAAAAGCACTTCTAAGAGGGGGTAACAGCAATACAAGCCTACCTCGAGAAACAAGAAAACACCCAATAAACAATCTGAACTCATATCTAAAGAAAGTAGCAAAAAAAGAACAAATGAAACCCAAAGTTAGTAGAAGGAGGGATATAATAAAATTCAGAGCAAAAATAAATAAAATACAGAAAAATAAAACAATAGAAAAGAAAATGAATGAAACCATGATATGGTTCTTTGAGGAGATAAACAAAATAGACAAACTCTTAGCCAGACATTAGGAAAAAGACAGAAACTAAGAAGGAATAGTCACAACACATATCACAGAAATAAAAATAATTATGAGAATTCCATGAAAAGTATATGTTAATAAATTGGACAACCTAAAAGAAATGTACAAATTCCTAGAAAAGTATGATCTTCCATGTCTGACCTAGGAAGAAACGAACTATTTGACCAGACTAATTACCAGTAAGGAAATTGAATTGGAAATCAAAAGCTCCCAACTAACAAAAATCCAGGACCAGATGGCTTCACAGCTGAATTCTATGAAAAACTTAAAGAAGAGCAGATACGCATCCTTCTTAAAGTATTCCAAAAAGTAGAAAAAGAGAAAATATTTACAAACTCATTCTATGAGGCCATCATACTAATGCCAAAACCAAAGACACTACAAAAAAGAAACTTATAGACCAATATCCTTGATGAACATAGATGCAAAAATCATCAACAAAACTTTAGCAAACCAAATTCAAAAATATGACAAATTCAAAAAATATGATGGATGGGTTGTCCATCATAACCAAGTGGGATTTATTCCAGAGATGCAAGGATGATGGAACAATATTCATAAATCCATCAATATCATATACCACATTGACAAATGTAAGGATAAGAACCATATGATCATCCCAATAGAAGTTGAAAAATCATTTGACAAAATTCAACATCCATTCATGATAAAAACTCTCCATAAAATGGGTATAAAGGTATGTACCTCACTATAATAAAGACAATATAATAAGTCAAACTCACAGCTAACATCATAATGAACAGTGAAAAGATAAAAGATTTTCTTCTAAGATCAGGGACAAGACAAGGATATCCACACTCACCACTTTTATTCAACATAGTACTGGAAGTTTTAGATATGGCAATGAGACAAGATAAAGGGATAAATGCCATCCAAGTTGTAAGGAAGAAGTAAACCTGCCACTGTTTGAAAATTACATGACACAGTGTATAGAAAACCCTGAAGACTTCACCAAAATCTGTTAGAACTAATAACTGGATTCAGCAGAATTGCAGGGAAAAAAATCAATATACAGAAATCTGTTGCATTCCTGTATACTAACAACAAACAAGCAGAAGGAGATATCAGGAAAACAATACTATTTATAATTTCATCAAGGAGAATCAAATACTTAGGAATAAACTTAACCAACAAGGTAGAAAACCTGTACTGTAAAATCTATGACACTGATGAAATAAATTGAAGACACAAATAAGTAGAAATCTACTACATTCTCATAGATAGGAAGATTAATATTGTCAAAATGGCCATCCTGCTCAAAGCAATCTACAGATTCAATGAAATCCCTACCAGAACACCAATAGCATTTTCAATAAAGTAGAAAAAATAGTCCTAAAATTTATATGGAACACAGAAGTCCCCAAATATTCAAAGTAATCTTGAGAAAGAACAATTCTGTGGGTATCATGCTCCCTGACTTCAGACTATACTACAACACTATAGTACTCTAAACAGTATGGTACTGGCATAAGAACAATCTCATAGATCAATAAAACAGGATAGAAAGCCCAGAAATAAACCCATGTATATATGGCCAATTAATACGCAACAAAAGAGCCATGAATATAAAATGGAGAAAAGATATGCTCTTCAACAAGTGGTGTTGGGAAAAGTCAACAGCTACATGCAAGAGAATGAAACTGGATAACTGTGTAACTCTATATGCAAAATTAAACTTGAAATGAATTAGAGATCTAAATATAAGACATGAAACCATAAAACTCTTATAAGAACACAGAGGCAATAATCTCTTGAAAGGAAGCATGAGTAATTTTTTTTTTCCTGGACACCTCTCCCCAGGCAAGGAACACAAAAGTAAAAATGAACAAGTGGAACTACATCAAACTAAAGAGCTTCTGTACAGCAAAGGATACCATCAACAAAACAAAAAGCCAACCTATGTTATTGGTGAATATATTCATAAGTGATTCATCCAATATGGGTTTAACATCCAAAATATATGAAGTAATATGAATCAATAACAAAAATAAATAAATAACCTGATTAAAAACTGGGCAGAGGACCTGGATAGACACTTTCTAAAAGAAGAAATACATATGGCCAAAAGGCACATGAAAAGATGCTCCACATAATTAATCATCAGGGAAATGCAAATGCACAATGAGATATCACCTCATACCAGTTAGAATGGTCCATACCTAAAAGACAAGAAATAACAAGTGTTGCCGAGGATATGGAGAAAATGGAACCCTGCTACCCTTTTGATTGGAATGTAAATAGGTGCAGCCACCATAGAAAACAATATGGAGGTTCTTTGTAAAACTAAATGTAGAAATACCATATGACCAGTAACTGCACTTCTAGGGATTTATACAATGAAAACATACCTAATTTAGACAGATCTAGGCTCCCCTATGATTATTGCCTTATTATTAACAATAGCCAAGATATAGATGCAACCAGAGTGTCCATCAGTAGATGAATGGATAAATAAGATGTGGTAAATATACACAATGGAATATTATTCAGCCATAAAAAAGAATTAAATCCTGCCATTTGCAACAACATGGATTGACATAAAGTATATTATTCTAAGGTAAATGTGTCAGGCAGATGAAGACAAATACCATTTGATTTCATTTATATGTGGAATCTAAAAACAAAACAAAAGAGAATGAATTGATTCTGGTTCTGGCTTTTCCATTAACTCAGTACTTTTGCCCTGCCTTTGGAAAGCTAATCACAATGGTCTCTCTCAACATTAATCAGAGACCAAGCCTCTAGGGACAGAATGAAGGAAATGTCTAAGAAATCATCTAGGAGTAATAATCAATAGTACTTGATAAAGAAGACAGAAGAGGAAATTCAGATAAACTAGAACCAACATTTCTAACCTAAGCAAATAATTTTCATTTTCCCCATCCAGGTCTCTGTCTTTTTCTCCCATTAGCAAAATAAGTGAATAAAGATTATATGAAATGGGATATGCCATTCCTACTGTTTTTTGGCCATCTACAGCTACCCACCTTGGGCCCCAGGGGAGCTTGGCTAATTTTGCAAGAAAGAGATTAAACCTATGTTTTGGCTTTGGAACCAAAGCTACACAGAAGGGTTTTACTCAGAAGTACCCTACCTCAGGCCTCACTGCAAGCACTGTTTCTATTTCAGATCCATTAACTGTTGTTTCTAATTTGCTAACAACACTCCTTGACCAAGAAAGTATCCCAGGTGTCTGGTTAGAAATGTGGATCTAAGAATTCTGCAGAGACCAGCTTTATGTCAAGTGTTTGTCAAACCTAGTGACAGGCTGCAGTTATTAAATTGTTGAGGAGACTTGTTTTGTTTAGAGATTTTTTTCTCCAAATATGAATGGAATTTACAGAACTTAAATAAAGGTTTAGTGGAAGCTGCATGGAACTGGCAGGTTTTCCTTAAAAACCCTATTGCCATTTACTGTTGGAAAAAGTATATACTGAAGGAATTGCAAAGAGAAATTACTGCTACATTATGAAATGTCAGACATATATGGAATCTGAAGAAACATTCTAGTAAAATTTCTCCATGAAAGAAATGCAGAGAGAAGGAAAGGGAGAGAGAGAGAAAAGAAAAGGGATGGAGGGAAGGAGAAGGAGAGGAAAGGAAGAGGAGGGACTGAGGGTGGGGGAGGGACAAACAGAAAGATAAAAAGGAAGAGATCTAACCACAGAGAGGGGTAGTGATTGGACAAAAATTGAACAGCAAGTTACTGAAAGAGCCTACACTAGAAGTTCCTATGTTTTGATTCCTGGGAAGAAACTGTTACCGTATACCCCACCCACTGTAGCAGAAGTCTGCAGAAATCCTCATACAATATCAGAGTTGGAAGTGCTTATAGTTATATTTAATGGACCTCCATCCCAATGCAAGGACTGTGTCTATAGATTCTCTGTGTAGCTGCTGAGAAGTCTATCCTCTGTAAGATCTGTGCTGATGTTGAGCAGTATCCTTACTTCTCTCCTGTTGTTCGAAAATAGAGCTTCTTCAGCTCTTTATTCTGCCTGCAGCTGAGAAGAGAATACAAATAACCAGAACATGGTGAAAACTGAGGATGGAGAAGGCATAAGTGTTTTGAAAATTTCTCAAGGACACTCACCATGACTCTTGTTTTCTTTTCACCAGGTTCCCTCTTATCCAGCCGCATACCCAACAGTGTCCGAACCTAGGGCCAACTGATGAAGCACTTACCAGGATTGTCAGGCTGCATGATGGCCATGACAAAGGTGTGAGGAAAGAGCATGGCTGCACTCTTCCTCATGCCCTGAAGCTGCACAGTGTTGCCCTGGAACATGACCCCATGCACATCAGTCTCTGTGCCCAGGCCAAGCAGGTGCCAGGCCACTGTGTCACCCTTGCACATGTCCAGCCTGGGCAGGTTAGAGAACAGAAACCCGTTAATGGCTGGAAAACAAAAAACACAAGACAGGACGGGGAGATGAAACCAGAATACCCAGGTACTGGCCAGCCACATAGCATCAGCTTTGTACTATGGTTTCCCACAATTTCAAATTTCTGAGTCATCCTCAACATCTTTGCCTTCTTCCATAAACCACATTAGTTCTACTTATGAAAATCTACCTCTTTTGGATAAGAGCCTAACTGGCATCTCCGGCCTCACTTTCTGTCCCCTCATCCACTCTGCTCCACATCTTTGCAAAATTGAATTATTCCCATGACCAGAATTCCTTCATAAACACACACAAAACTATCAATCTCTCCTATTCCCACTCTCTTGAAACTCTCCTCCTTTGGCTTCTGTTAGCATCACACTTTTCTGGTTCTCTTACCACCTCTCTGATTGTTCCTCCTCCATCTTGTTCTCAATTTCAATCCCTCTGTAAAGTGTAGTGGTTCCCCCAAGGTTCCATTATCAGTTTTCAATCTGTTCCCTCCTCTTCATCCTCACTGCTACTTCCATGGTTCTGGCCCTCATTATTTATGGATTGAACTCCTGCAATAGCACTTCCCAGGTACACCTGCTTACAGTCTGCCCTCTCTTAGACACTCATACCACTATCCTGTTAGCTTTATTTGCCTTTGCATCTCCAAGGCTTTAAACATGGCAGGTGCTTAGAAAACACTTGTTAACTTTCCATATGCTTCTCCCTCTTACTGGAATAAACGTTTCCTCTAGTGTCTCTCTATTGCAAACTGATACTCATTCTTCATGCCCCAGTTCAAATAACACCTCTGGAATGAAATATTCCTCCCAACAAAATTCTTCTATATCACTACCCACATAGTTCAACTCTAATCTATCTTCCACACTAGACTGACCTTGCAGGAAACACATCATTTTTCTTCATGTTTCCTGGTACTAATAAGATGGTCCATAAATTCAAAATGGAATGAACATGTTTTGAACAATAATTACCTTTTACAGCTGATAAAACTGACTTGATGGGAACCAATAAATGGAGCCAAAAGATAACACCCTTAGCCATGATCCCCCTTCTGCCCTCCACATTCCCCTCAGATATACAGGGAAGTCTGCTTGAAGCTGACCCTTTTTCAATATCCACTGGAACCAGCTTTAATGAGTAACCTTATTTGGTAGTTCCCTGGAATGCTGACAGAAATACTGCTAACCTACTGATTTTGCTTCCCTTAACTGTAATGTCTAATTACAATCCTGTCTAGCCTTCAACCTTCAACTTAAGTATTCCCTTCTTCCAGGAATATTTTACTTGGATTCTTTCTCATTAATTTTCTCATCTTCTGAACTCTATGTCAGTTAAAAGCTGTTTCACACAATTTAGAACTTAATTATAGTCTGTCTTGGATTTCTTTACAATTGTTTCATGGTTGTTATTAGTCGTATTGCAAATGCTGGGAGCTCCTTGGAAAGTGGGACCTTTATCTTACCATTTATTTATTCACCCACCCACTCATTAATTTGATAGGTCACTGATTCAATAAACATTTACCACGTATGAAACAGTGTAGCAAATAAAAAGGTAAGCAACAAACAATATTTACCTTCAAGGAGAATACACCCTAGCAGAAGTAAAAAGCCATGTAACAAACAACTACAATATTAAGTAGTGTATAGAATTTTCTATTAAAATAGTCTGATAAAAATGCATTAGTAATTCAGAAGGTGTCATCACCCTGAAATTAGGTGATAAAAAATGGTTGCATGAAGGAGGTAGCTTTTGAGTAGGGCTTCAAAGAATGGGAAGAATTTCCACAGGCTGAGGGCAAAGATGTAAGGTGGGGCATTTATAGTGGAAGGAAAATGACTGCAAAATCATGAAATCATAAAAATAGAATGTTTTTCCACATATAGAAAAAATTAACCCTTTTTGTTTGTAGTATGAGTTTGGGGAGTGAGGGTAGTGGGTAATAAGAGAGAATGACATAAAACTGGTAAGTATCATCCCAGCTCACACTCCTCATTCTCTTGTCAATTCAGTGTTTGCAATCCTCACTTCACAGTACCTTTTTTCAGTGTATTTTATACATGTAACATAGGACACAGCAGAAATAAAGTGTTAAGTATAAGACTGTCTTGGGTTTGATCTCTCAATGTAGCCCTTCTCTTAGTCAAACTTGACCAATGGGATCAGTGTTTTCAGAGATGGATCATGATTAAGTTTAAGTTAGATTTTACTTGTAACGTCTCAATTGTAGTTCTGGGCAAAAGTACTCCCCATACCATGCATCCTATTGGAGTCTTGGAAACCCTTGATGTCCTCTAAGAGCAGCCGGGAATCCAACATAGCAGCCACTTGATTGGCATTGCTGTACCAGCTCTTGTTCTCATCCAACACAGTGAAAAGGAGGAAGAATTCTTTATCCACTCCTTTCTGAAGGCCCAGTGGAAGAGAACAGAGGGAGGAATGACAATGGTTTCAGTAGTTGTGGACTGTGCAGCTCCTGAAGCAATGATCCCTGATTCTTCCTCAATCTTCCCAGAGAAGAGGCAAGCCCACATCTCCTGCCTAGAGCTGAAATTGTTGCTAGGTAGTTTTCCCTCAAGTAACCTCAAACCACAAGTGGGTGAAGGAATCAGAATAATGTGACAAGATGGGAGAGGAGAAATGTATGAAAGGGGGCAGGGAAGAAGTAAAAGATGAGGACTATAGAGAAGAGGTACAGAGTTATTAAAGAGAACCTGAAGTCACCTGGGAAGAGGAGTGGCGAAAAGTGGCTAAGAGATCAGGGCAGAAAAATTATTATTATTATGGATATACTATTATTTTTATTATTGTTAATTATTATTATTATTATTACTGCTAAAATGTACTGAGTGCTTGCTATATAACACTCTGCTAAGTACTTTATATGGATTATTTTAATTAATCTACACAGAAACCCAAGATACCTTCTTCCATTTTTAACCTATAACTACAGATGAGGAAACTAAGGAAAAGCAAGGTTAAGGAACTTGCCCAAGGTTACACAAGTGGAAATAGTGAGCTATATATGAAATAAGACAACCAAATATTGAAGTATATATAGAAATTAGGAGCAAGGTTTAGAGGCTAATAAGGTTTTTTTTTAAAATGAGGAGATGATAGAAGGATATAAAATAGAAAAGAGAGATCATTTGTGGAGTATAACAATGAAGCAAAACTGAAGGAACAAAATAGCATCAGATTCACAGACTCCAAGAAGGGACTAGCAGTTACCAAAGGGGAGGGGAGGGGGAAGGTGGGTGGCAAGGGAAGTAGAAGGGGATTGATGGGTATTATGATTAGTTCACATGGTGTAGAGGAGGTCAAGGGGAAAACAGTATAGCACAGAGAAGACAAGTAGTGACTCTGTGGCATCTTCCTATGATGATGGACAGTGACTGCAATGGGTTATGGGGGGAACTCAATAATATGGTTAAATGTAGTAACCACATTGTTTTTCTTGTGAAATCTTCATAAGAGTGTATATTAATTATACTTTAATAAAAAATAGAGTGGAGAGAGCACGATGGAATTAATGATGGTGGCATGAGAGGTGAGACAGAAACCACCTCCTAAAACCACATATAATATATAAATATAGCAAATACAACTTATACATAGTGCTCTAGAGATTAGTGGGATTGGAAAGCTAAAACAGGCAGAATATTTGGAGAGACTGAGATTCCAGCCACTTGTGGAGATCAGTTACCCACACCAGCCACTCTGGGATAAAAGAAAGGTGAGCATTCTGAGAGACCTTCCAACAGCAGAGGGCTTCTAAATTGAGAAGGATTGCACAGAGATTGTTGCTCAGGAGAAAGGATAGGTGGATGAAATTGCCCCAGCACACTCAGCCCAGCAGGTTGGGAATGTTCAGGAGCTTCAGACACTCCATCCGTCTGACCGGCAATACACCTCTGAGGCCCCACTCCTTCCTACCACCTGGCACTATCTTGGAGACCTGCTGACCCCACCATTAAGCCAGGCCACCTAGAGGGTAGCCCTGCCTAGGGAAGTTACTGTGGTGTAGCATAGACTCCTTGCATGCTCAGTGCACTGGCCCTGGGAGTGGAAACAAGTACTCTAGGCATGAAGCAGGAAAGAGCTCTTTCTTCCCAGCAGGTACCAGAACTAGTCACCTGTGACACCCACCTTTGCTCAAGGGGATAAGCAGATCCAAAGAGTAGACATTCTGGGCAGTCGAGGGTGCCACCTACACCAAATTATTGCAAATAATATCAAAAGAACCTGGTACAAACAAAAGTCCCACCAACATCAGAAAGAGGGCAAAGTGAAACTGAACTCACCAATCTTCCTGGAAAAGATTTCAAAATAAAAATCATAAACATGCTAATGGAGGTACAGAAAAATATTCAAGAACTCAGGAATGAATTTAGAACAGAGATCCAACAATTGAAGAGCACAATGGAGGGTATTAAAAGCAGATTACATATGGTGGAGGAAACAATAAATGAAATAGAAACTAGGGAAGAGGAATATAAAGAAGCTGAGGCACAGAGAGAAAAAGGATCTCTAGGAATGAAAAGAATACTTTCATAACTGTGTGACCAATCCAAACAGAACAATATTCGTATCATAAGGGTATGAGAAGAACAGGAGAGAAAAAGGGATAGAAAGTGTCTTTGAGGAGGTAATTGCTGAAAACTTCTCCAATCTGGGGAAGAAGACAGTCTCTGAGACCAGATCTCTCAACAAAAGGGACCCAAGGAAGACAACACCAAGACATAAAGAAATTAAAATGGCAAATATCAAGGATAAGTACAGAGTATTAAAAGCAGCCAGAGAGAGAGAAAAATGATCACATACAAAGGAAAACACCTCAGGCTATCATCAGACTTCTCAGCAGAAACCTAACAGGCCAGACAGGAGTGGCATGATATTTTAATGTAATGAAACAGAAGGGCCTCAAACCAAGAATATTCTACCTGGCAAGATTATAATTTAAATTTGAAAGAGGGATTAAACAATTTCCAGATAAGCAAAAGTTGAGAGAATTTACTGCCCAAAAACGATCTCTACAGTGTACTTTGGAGGGACTGCTATAGGCAGAAGTGTTCCTAAAGCTAAATAGCTGTCAGCAGAGGAAATGAAACCACAGTAAAGGAAGTAGAAAAATTAATTATGAAGCAAATTCAAAATTAATTCAACTACCTCACTCAATGGATATACAAAGAGTACAGAATTTGATACCTAAAACATAAAGAATGGAGAAGGAAGAAAAAATAGAACTTTTAGATTGTGTTTGTAATAGCATACTAAGTGAGTTAAGTTATACTGTTAGATAATAAAGAAGCTAGTCTTGAACCTTTCATAACTATGAATCTAAGCCTGCAATGGAAAGAAGTACTTATATCTATAATCACCCTAAATGTAAATGGTCTGAGTAAACGAATCAAAACACATAATGGCACTGAATGGATAAAAAAAAGTCCCGTCCATATGCTGCCTACAAGAGACTCACTTCAACTGAAAGACACACAGACTGAAAGTGAAGGGATGGGAAAAATATTTCATGCAAGTAGTAGGGAGAAAAAAACAATAAGTGCAGTACTTGTGTCAGACAAAATAGACTTCAAAACAAAGTAACAAGAGACAGAGGACATTACATAATGATAAGGGGGTCAGTCTAAAAGGAGGATCTAACCATTATAAATATGTATGCACCCAATATAGGAGCACCTACATATATGAAACAAATACTAACATAATTAAAAGAGGAAATAGAATGGAATACATTCATTTTAGAAGACTTAAACACACCACTCATTCCAAAGGACAGATCAACCAGACAGAACATAAGTAAGCAGAAAGAGGCACTGAACAACACATTAGAACAGATGGACCTAACAGACATCTACAGAAAAGCAGCAGGATGCACATTATTCTCAAGTGCACATGGAACACTTTTAAGAATAGATCATTTACTAGGCCACAACAAGAGTCTCAGTAAATTCAGAAGAATTGAAGTTTTAAAAACCAGCTTCTCAGACTAAAAAGGTATGAAATTAGAAATAAATTATGCAAAGAAAACAAAAAAGCTCACAAACACATGGATGCTTAATAACATGCTCTAAAATAATCAATGGATCAATGACCAAATAAAAACAGAGATCACACAATATATGGAGACAAATGAAAGCAATAACTCAACACAGCAAAATCTGTGGGATTCAGTGAAGGCTATTCAAACAGGGAAGTATATATATTGCAACACAGACCTACTTGAAGAGAGAAGAACAATCCCAATCATACAGTCTAAACCCACAATTTATAAAACTAGACAAAGGAGAATGAGGCCCAATGCCAGTAGAAGGTGGGACATAATAAAGATTAGAGTAGAAATAAATAAAATGGAGAAGAATAAAAGAATAGAAAGAATGAATGAAACCAGGAACTGGTTCTTTGAGAAAATAAACAAAATAGATAAAACCCCTAGCCAGACTTATCAAGAAAAAAGGAAAGTCTACACACATAAACTGAATCAGAATGAGAAAGGAAAAATCACTATGAAAACAACAAAAATACAAATAATTATTAGAGAATACTATGAAAATTATATGCTAACAAATTGGATGACCAAGAAGAAATGGACCACTTTCTAGAAAACTACAAACTTCCAAGGGTGACTGAGGAATATACAGAAAACTTGAACAGACCAATTACCAGCAATGAAATGGTATTGGGAATCAAAAACTTCATAAGAACAAAATGCCTGGACTTCACCATTGAATTTTATCAAATATTTGGTGAAGGCCTAATACCCATTCTCCTTAAAGTTTTCCAAAAAGTAGAAGAGGGAACACGTCCAAACTCATTCTATGAGAGCAGCATCACTCTAATACCCAAACCAGGCAAAGACACCATAAAAAAAGAAAATTACAGACCAATATTCCTGATCAACATAGATGGAAAAATACTCAGCAAAATATTAGCAAACTGAATTCAAAAATATATCAAAAAATCATCCATCATGATCAAGTATGATTTATTGCAATCATGCAAGGATAGTACAATATTCAAAAATCCATCAACATCATACACCACATCAAAATAAGACAAAAATCACATGATCATCTCCATAGATGCTGAAAAAGCATTTGACAAAATTCAACATCCTATCACAATAAAAACTCTCAACAAAATGTGTATAGAAAGCAAGTACCTCAACATAATAAAGCCTATATATGACAAATCCACAGCCAACATCATACTTAATAGTAAAAATCTGAAAGCTTTTCCTTTAAGATGGGGAACAAGACAAGGATGCCCACTGCCTCCACTTTAATTCAACATAGTACTGGAGATCCTAGCTATGGCAATCAGACAATGCAAAGAAATAAAAGGCATCCAGACTGGTAAGGAAGAAGTCAAACCGTTACTGTTTGCAGATGACATTCTATTGTACATAAAAAACCCTAAAGAATACACTCCAAAACTACTAGATCTAATATCTGAATTCAGCAAAGTTGCAGGATACAAGATTAATAAGCAGAAATCTGTTGCATTCCTATACACTAACAATGAACTAGCAGAAAGAGAAATAAAGAAAACAATTCCATTCGTAATTGCATCAAAAAGAATAAAATACCTAGGAATAAACCTAACCAAGGAAGTGAAAGACCTATAGCCTGAACATTACAAGACACTCATTAGAGAAATTAAAGAAGACACCAATAAATGGAAATACATCTGTGCTCATGGATAGGAACATTCAATATGGTCAAAATGGCCATGCTACGTAAAGCAATCTACAGTTTCAATGCAATCCCCATCAAAATACCAATGACATTCTTCAAATAACTGGAACAATTAGTTCTAAAATTCATATGGAACCACAAAAGTACACAAATAGCCAAAGCAATCCTGAGAAGAAAGAATAAAGCTGGTAGGGTTATGCTCCTCGACTTCAAGCTCTACTACAAAGCCACAGTAATCAAGACAATTTGGTACTGGCACAAGAACAGACCCACACATCAATCGAACAGATAAAGATCCCAGATATAAGCCTAAGCATATATGGTCACTTAAAATACATAAAGGAGTAATGGATATACAATGGAAAAATGACAGCCTCTTCAACAAGTGATGTTGGCAAAACTGTACAGTACATATAAGAGAATGAAACTGGATTATTGTCTAACTCCATACTCAGAAGTAAACTTGAAATGGATCAAAGACCTGAATCTAAGTCATGAAACCATGAAACTCTTAGAAGGAAACATAAGTAAAAATCTCTTTAATATAAACATGAGAAAATTTTTCCTGAACATATCTACTAGGGCAAGGGAAACAAAAGAAAAAATGAACATATGGGACTATATCAAACTAAAAAGCTTCTGTACAGAAAAGGACACCAACAGCAGAACAAAAGGCATCCTACAGTATGGGAGTATATATTCATAAATGACATATCCAACAAGGGGTTAGCATACAAAATATATAAAGAACTCAAATGTTCAACACCCAAATATCAAATAACCTTATTAAAAAATGGGTGTAGGATCTGAACAGACACTTTCCAAAGAAGAAATTCAGATGGCCAAAAGGCACATGAAAATATGCTCCGCATTGCTAATTATCAGAGAAATGCAAATAAAACCACAATGAGATATTATCTCACACCAGTTAGGATGGCCAACATCCAAAAGACAAGGAACAACAAATGTTGGCGAGGTAGTGGAGAAAGGGGAACCCTCCTGCACTGCTGGTGGGAATGTAAACTAGTTCAACCATTGTGGAAAGCAGTATGGAGGTCCCTCAAAAAACTCAAAATATAAGTATCATTTGACCCAGGAATTCCACTCCTAGGAATTAACCATAAGAATGCAGCAGCCCAGTTTGAAAAAGAAATATGCACCCCTATGTTTATCGCAGCACTATTTACAATAGCCAAGAAATGGAAGCAACCTAAGTGTTCATCAGTAGATGAATGGATAAAGAAGAAATGGTACAAATACACAATGGAATATTATTCAGCCATAAGAAGAAAACAAATCCTACCATTTGCAACAACATGGATGGAGCTAGAGGGTATTATGCTCAGTGAAATAAGCCAGGCAGAGAAAGACAAGTACCAAATGATTTTCCTCATTTGTGGCATATAACAACAAAACAAAACTGAAGGAACAAAACAGCATCAGACTCACAGACTCCAAGAAGGGACTCACAATTACCAAAGGGGCAGTGTGGGAGATGGTAGGTGGAGAAGGAGGTAAAAGGGGATTGAGTGGTGTTATGACTGGTACAAATGGTGTGGGGTGGTCACGGGAAAACAATGTAGCACAGAGAAGACAAGTAGTGACTCTGTGGCATCTTACTATGCTGATGGAAAGTGACTGTGTGGGGTGTGTGGGGGGGACTTGATAAAATGGGTGAATGTAGTAACCACAATGTTTTTCATGTGAAACCTTCATAAGAGGAAGTCTTCATATCGATGAAGCCTTTATTAAAAAAAAAAACTTTACAGCAACACCCACAAAAAAAAGAAAGGAATAGAGACTAAGAAAGAAGTGTATTTGTGAGTGTAAGAACAGCATGCGAGATAGCATGAAGTCACCAACTATTATTTTTTTATTCCATAGCTGTTTTCTTTCTATTTCCTCACCTCTAGAACCCAGTTTCATGCTTAACTTCTATTCACCAAATCAGCCCTATCCTCCTCCCAGCCAGCCTTGCAACCAGAAATCCTGGAAGTACCTGTTTGCCATCTGCACCCAAGACACCAGCCTTGCACACCAGCAGGGGGCCCACCAGGCCAGAATTTGTATCTCTTACTGGATCTGCAGCAGAAAAGTATATCCAGGTGAGACAGGCAGGATCCTGAGCAGCGGGACCAGCATGTGGGGGTACTGTCCAGCGATACGTTACTTTCTCAAAGGGCTTGGCCACCATGGCATGGTGGGATGAGCCTGCAGGGAAAACATGGGACTCATTTATTTACAGTGGCTAAAGTGAGCATCATTAGTTTCAAACAGCAGAAGTAGCAGCAATAAGGACTTTTAATACCAAAAAGGATCATTGGTAGGTTTCGAGAGACTAGTTTGGTCTCTGGTTCTACTGCTCCTTGTTATTTGAACTAGGGAACTTTAAATCTCCCAGTTTATAATTTTCCAAACTTATAGTACCTAAGTATTAAAAGGGCCTTTAAAACTTATTTGGAACACCCCTCACTTGAAAGCACACATTCATCTGCTCTTATATCTCTACCTCTGTTTAAAAATCTCTAGCAATGGGAGATTCACTAACTAATATCATAGCCTGTTTCATCTCTGAATGGTTCTGATTGTGGAACACTTTCTCCTTTCTTTATGTGTGCATGTATGTGTGGATGTGCTTATGTTATGTATTTATGTGTGTATATATGTAAAAAACACTAAGGTTAAATTTTCTGAAAAGGACACAAGTCATGTTCAGACAATGCACAGAAATTTTATTTAAAATTTACAAATTTATTAGAAATCAAAAAAGTACAAATGAAAATAGCTAGATAATATCTTGCCTATCAAGTTAGGAAAATTTTACAAATTATAATAATCAGGGCTGGGGAGAAGTCACTCAGATGGCATCTACTCCTTTCACTAACCTGTAAAGAGGGTAAATGTAAATGAGAATATTCTTTCTAGGAAAAATGTTAACAAAATGGATCAAAAGCATTAAGAAGGTTCATACCCACAAAAAAATAAGACCTTCAGTACTGAAAACAACGTTCAACCTAGCGCAAATCAAAAGAGCTGAGTTTTGTTGTTTACCTAAAAGACGGAAATTTTGTTAAATATTAAAATGGATGCTCTATGCTAGTGAAATTATAAGAAAATTGGTCCTTCCTCTTAGCTACTGTTGATGGAACTCCAAATGGATGTGACTGGAAATTTTTCTGGAGAGCAATTTGGACATAGATAACCAAAAATTTTAATGTGTGTACCATCTGCTACAGAACTCCACATCTTAAATATATATTCTGAAGAAATAATCATAAATGTGTTCAAGGAAGCATTCAGAAGGTAGTATAATTTAGAATGGTTTAACTTATCTATTCTTTATTTTCTTTTTTTTCTTTTTGTATCATTAATCTACAGTTACATGAAGAATATTATGTTTACTAGGCTCCACCTTCACCAAGTCCCCCCAACATACCCCTTCACAGTCACTGTCCATCTACGTAGTAAGATGCTGTAAAATCACTACTTGTCATCTCTATGTTGCACAGCCCTCCACGTGCTGCCCACCACACTATACATGCTAATTGTAATGCCCCCTTTCCTTTTCCCTGCCCTTATCCCTCCCTTCCCACCCATCCTTCCCAGTCCCTTTCCCTTTGGTAACTGTTAGTGCATTCTTGGGTTCTGTGATTCTGCTGCTGTTTTCTTCCTTCACTTTTCCTTTGTTCTTACACTCCATATATGAGTGAAATCATTTGGTACTTCTCTTTCTCCACCTGGCTTATTTCACTGAGCATAATCCCCTCTAGCTCCATCCATGTTGTTGCAAAAGGTAGGATCTGTTTTTTTCTTATGGCTGAGTAATATTCCATTGTGTATATTTACAACATCTTCTTTATCCATTCATCTACTGATGGACATTTAGGTTGCTTCCATATCTTGCCTATTGTAAATAGTGCTGCGATAAACATAGGGGTGCATCTGTCTTTTTCAAACTGGGATGCTGCATTCTTAGGGTAAATTCCCAGAAGTGGAATTCCTGAGTCAAAAGGTATTTCTATTTTGAGCATTCTGAGGAACCTCCATACTGCTTTCCACAATGGTTGAACTAATTTACATTCCCACCAGCAGTGTAGGAGGGTTCCCCTTTGTCCACACCCTCACCAACATTTGTTGTTGTTTGTCTTTTCGATGATGGGGATCCTTACTGGTGTGAGGTGATATATCATTGTGGTTTTAATTTGCATTTCTCTGATGATTAGTGATGTGAGCATCTTTTCATGTGCCTGTTGGCCATCTGGATTTCTTCTTTAGAGAACTGTCTATTCAGCTATTCTGCCCATTTTTAAATCAGATTATTTGCTTTTTGTTTGTTGAGGTGTGTGAGCTCTTTATATATTTTGGATGTCAACCCTATATCGGATCTGTCATTTATGAATATATTCTCCCATACTGTAGGATAACTTTTTGTTCTATTGATGGTGTCCTTTGTTGTACAGAAGCGTTTTAGCTTGATATAGTCTGACTTGTACATTTTTGCCTTTGTTTCCCTTGCCCGGGGAGATGTGTTCATGAAGAAGTCACTCATGTATATGTCCATGAGATTTTTGCCAAGGATTTTTTCTAATAGTTTTATGTTTTCATGACTTACATTCAGGTCTTTGATCCATTTCGAATTTACTTTTGTGTATGGGGTTAGACAGTGATCCAGTTTCATTCTCTTGCATGTAGCTGTCCAGTTTTGCCAGCACCATCTGTTGAAGAGACTGTCATTTCCCCACTGTATGTCCATGGCTCCTTTATCATATATTAATTGGCCATATATGTTTGGGTTAGTGTCTGGAGTATCTGTTCTGTTCCACTGGTCTGTGGCTCTGTTCTTGTGCCAGTACCAAACTGACTTGATTACTGTGGCTTTGTAGAAGAGATTGAAGTTGGGGAGCGAGATCCCCCCACTTTATACTTCCTTCTCAGGATTGCTTTCGATATTTGGGGTCTTTGACGGTTCCATATGAATTTTTGAACTATTTGTTCCAGTTCATTGAAGAATGCTGTTGGTAATTTGATAGGGATTGCATCGAATCTGTATATTGCTTTAGGCAGGATGGCCATTTGATGGCATTAATTCTTCCAAGCCAGGAGCATGGGATGAGTTTCCATTTGTTAGTGACCTCTTTAATTTCTCTTAAGAGTGTCTTGTAGTTTTCAGGTCTTTCACTTCCTTGGTTAGGTTTATTCCTAGGTATTTTATTCTTTTTGATGCTATTGTGAATGGAATTGTTTTCCTGATTTCTCTTTCTATCAGTTCATTTTTAGTGTATAGGAAAACTACAAATTTCTGTGTGTCAATTTTGTATCCTGCTAATTTGCTGAATTCCAATATTAGTTCTAGTAGTTTTGCAGTGGAGTGTTTAGGGTTTTTTATGTACAATATCATGTCATCTGCAAATAGTGACAGTTTGACTTCTTCTTTACCAATCTGGATTCCTAGTATTTCTTTGATTTGTCTCATTGCCATGGCGAGGACCTCCAGTACTATGTTAAATAACAGTAGGGAGAGTGGCTATCCCTGTCTTGTTCCCGATCTCAGAGGAAAAGCTTTCAGCCTCTCGCGGATCAATATGATGTTAGCTGTGGGTTTATCACATATGGCCTTTATTATGTTGAGGTACTTGCCCTCTATGCCCATTTTGTTGAGAGTTTTTATCATGAATGGATGTTGAATTTTATCAAATGCTTTTTCAGGGTCTATGGAGATGATCATGTGGATTTTCTTCTTCTTTTTGTTGATGTGGTGGATGATGTTGATGGATTTTCGAGTGTTGTACCATCCTTGCATACCTGGGATGAATCCCACTTGGTCATGGTGTATGATCCTCTTGATGTATTTTTGAATTTGGTTTGCTAATATTTTGTTGAGTATTTTTGCATCTACATTCATCAGGGATATTGGTCTGTAGTTTTCTTTCTTTGGTGGGGTCTTTGCCTGGTTTTGGTATTATGGTGTTGTTGGCTTCATAGAATGAGTTTGGAAGTATTCCCTCTTCTCTTTTTGGAAAACTTTAAGGAGAATGGGTATTATGTCTTCTCTGTTTGTCTGATAAAATTCCGAGCAAATCCATCTGGCCCGTGGGTTTTGTTCTTCGGTAGTTTTGTGATTACTGATTCAATTTCATTGCTGGTAATAGGTCTGTTTAAATTTTCTGTTTCTTTCTGGGTCAGTCCTGGAAGGTTGTATTTTTCTAGGAAGTTGTTCATGTCTCCTGGGTTTTCCAGCTTCTTAGCATGTAGGTTTTCATAGTATTCTCTAATAATTCTTTGTATTTCTGTGGGGTCTGTCATTATTTTTCCTTTCTCATTTCTGATTCTGTTGATGTGTGTTGACTCTCTTTTTCTCTTAATAAGTCTCATTAGAGGCTTATCTCTTTTGTTTATTTTCTCGAAGAACCAGCTCTTGGTTTCATTGATTTTTTTTGTTTTATTCTTCTCAATTTTATTTATTTCATCTCTGATCTTTATTATGTCCCTCCATCTGCTGATCTTAGGCCTCATTTGTTCTTCTTTTTCCAGTTTCGATAATTGTGATGTTAGACTATTCATTTGGGATTGTTCTTTCTTCTTCAAGTGTGCCTGTATTGCTATATACTTTCCTCTTAAGACTGCTTTTGCTGCGTCCCACAGAAGTTCGGGCTTTGTGTTGTTGTTGTCATTTGTTTCCATATATTCTTGATCTCTATTTTAATTTGTTCATTGATCCATTGATTATTTAGGAGCATATTGTTAAGCCTCCATGGGTTTGTGAGCCTTTTAGCTTTCTTTGTGCAATTTACTGTTAGTTTTATGCCTTTGTGGTCTGAAAAGTTGGTTGGTAAGTTTTCAATCTTTTGGAATTTACCGAGGCTCTTTTTGTGGCCTAGTATGTGGTCTATTCTGGAGGATGTTCCATGTGCACTTGAGTAGAATGTGTATCCTGTTGCTTTTGGATGTAGAGGTCTATAAATGTCTATTAGGTCCATCTGTTCTAGTGTGTAGTTCAGTGCCTCTGTGTCCTTACTTATTTTCTGTCTGGTTGATTTGTCCTTTGGAGTGAGTGGTGTGTTAAAGTCTCCCAAAATGTCTCTCTGGTTTCTATTTCATCAATTGCATTCTATTTCCTCCTTTAATTCTGTTAGTATTTGTTTCACATATATTGATGCTCCTGTATTGGGTGTATATATGTTTATAATGGTTATATCCTGTTGTTGGACTGA